CCACTGGGGACAGGGGACAGGGATGCAGATGACACCCACGCTTTGGGGCAGAGTGATTGGTTGCATAGGAGTCCCCAAGAAGAGGAGCAGGGGAATAAAGGGAGAGGATACTTATTTTTTAATCTCTTGAATGTTTTTGGACCTCCAGCCAAGTATCCTGGAGCAGGACACCGAGAAGGATGAGGCAGAGCCCTGACCCAGAGAAGCGAGAATCCATGCGTCTCAAGAAGAAGCCTGTAAGGCTATCAGGATCTAACTGGGAGTCCCGGGAATTCAGAGGACAGGGAGATAGGTGGGCGGCTGCAGGAACTGGAGGGGGTCTGTCTGGAGGGGTCAAAGGTAAACAGCCACAGGACTGAAACTGAGCCTTCGGTATCTTTCTCTTCCCTGGCCATGACCCATGTACCTGGCTGTGTGCTGAGCCAGGTTGTCCCAGCTTCACGCCTGGCCCTGCTGTCCACCCAGCCTCAGAGTTCGCCCCTGTCTGGCTCTCTGGTACGCTACCCTCTCTTACGCTACAACCAGAACGTGACTGGAAGTTTCCTGAGAGGCCTTTCGCTCTTGCCTCCCATCTCTTCAGAGAACACTCTCTCTTCCACATTTTACCTGGATCCCTTCTACCCATTCTTCACATCTCAGCTTAGCTGCTCTTCCTCCTGGAAGCCTTTCCTGACCCCTAAAACTGGGCTGGATGTGCCTTCTCTGTGCTGAAGAAATATTTTTTTGTATGGATGCATGAGAAATGGATGGACGTTTGGATGGGTGGATGAATGGATGGGGGATGCAAGATGGGGAAATGGATGAATGGATGGGGAATGGGGGTATGGATGGGAGATGGGTAGATGGGTGTTGGGGGTGGCTGGAGAATGGGTAGGGGGTGGGGAGATGGATGGCTGAGTAGATGAATTAATGGATGGATGGATGAAAGGGATAATTGGTTAAGTAGCCAGATGGATGGCTGGATAGATATAAGAGCAGAGGGTGGATTGGTTAGGTGGACGGTAGTGTAGATTGGATAGATGAATGGGTAGTGGGTGAGTGGGTGGAGGTGGATGGATGATGGTGGGCGGGTGGGCAGAAAGGAGACTCAATATAAGGAAAGGTAAGAGACAAGGTTGCTTTAGGCATGTCGAAGTTTCTGGAAGGCCAACAGTGTCCCAGGCAGAGGTGGAGTGGGGATCTTTTCTCCTAATTCCTCCCTCTGAGCCCTCAGCTGCTCCGAGCACCCTCCCAATGTAGGGACCCAGCTCTGGGTACTGTAGCCAGAGATGTAATGGGGACCCGGAACCTTCTTCCATCTTACCTTTTTTCCATAACTCATCGCCCGGTGGATGTTTTTTTGCCAATTCGTCTGATTACTGACAATATCCTGCGCTGGGGATGAGGTAAGAGATTTAGGTCTCTTCCTATCTGGTCTGCTTCCTTCCTCACCTTCCGTGCCCCCCTCCTCCTCCCGTGTCTTCCCAGCAGCCAGCCAGATACCCAGCCGGGCTGGGCAGGGCTGGGCTGGAAGACAGCCTCAGCCAGCGAGGGCCAAGCTTGTAGCCCGGGGCCCCAACCAGTCTGGTCCCTGCTGCCTGGTGCCCACCCCCGCCCGGCAGCTCCGATTTTCAGCTCGGGTTTGATCGCCTGCCAGGATCTCCCAAATGTCAGCTGCAACGTTAGCATCTTTAAGAGAGCGCCCGAGGCGATCTTTAAGCACGGAGGCTGGGGCCCCATGCTGATGAGAGGAGCCTGTTCCAAGCTGACAGCTCTGCCTGCTGCCTCCCCAGCCGATGCTCTGGGAGCCTATGGCCCCTACTCGTTGGGCCTGGACAGCACCTGGGTTTATTTGTAAGCCTGGGTGAATTAGGGCTTTGCAGGGAGTTAGCTCAGACGCCATAGCAGACCCCTAACAGGGTGCCCCAGGGGGGCAGGAGGGGCCTATTTTGTCACTGTTCAAGCCTCTCAGCCCAGCATGGGGCCTGATCCAGAAGAGGAGTGGATAAATATTTGTTAACTGAACAAACGCTTGAGCCCTCTAAACTGCCTGAAAGGAGGTGAATGAAGATGGGTGCTTTCTCCCCTATCCTTACCTTGAAGGGGAGATGCTCGTGGTAAGGGGGAGATGCTCAGGGTGCGAGGAGATGAGCAAAGGCTCCAGGCTTTGGAGTCAGACCAAAAGGCATGGGCTGGTGTCCCAGGTCTAGCATGTGGATGTTGTGTCTTTGGGAAAGTTTCTGGCCCTCTCTGAGCCTCAGCTTTCTCATTAGTGAAACGTGCAAGGGGAGAGAATGCCAGCCCTGCAGAGTTTCGGGAAGATCCCCTGAGATAATGAGATGGGAACACTGGCTACAGGGCTTGACACTTAGTAGATACTGAAGGAAGTCCCTGGTCTGCCTCCATGGCTTTGCGCGAGCTCTTCTTTCTACCCCAAATGCCCTTCGCCACGTCACCCTCCTAGTCCTTCCAGATCCTGAGTACGCCCCTTCTCTGGGACTCCTCCGTGCTTACCCAGCCTAGCTGATACTCCTTGAATCCCCCGGGACTACATTTGTGCCTGAGCCAGCACCCATGCAACGTGACTGTGATTTCTGTTCCAGGCCACGTATCGGCAAATTTCAAGGGCAGAAACTCTCTTTATTGATTTCTAGATCCCTGGAGTCTTATACAAGTTCTAATCCACAGCTGGTGCAGAATGAATGAATGAATGAATGAATGAATGAATGAATGAATGAAAGCTAGCTAGCTGGTGTGAGCAGAATCAAGGGAACTTTCTGAAAGGTTTTAGTAATAAAAGAAAGTATGCCTCAAAGGCTGAGCCCTGATAACCCCCTCAAAAGTCTCATGGTGCTGGTGAAGGGCTGTCATCTTTTCTAAAACTTCCACATATGTTCCTCTACTCCTCAGAGGAACAGGGGTGATTCCTCTCAGTTCTCAATTACCCAGTGTCACACAGCATGCTGGAGACAGGAGCAGAAGCTGACCAGTTCCTGCTCCGCACCATCCTTTCGGTCCTCAGACCCTGGACTGGTGGATCTTGGCTCATTTTGCATCACCTCTGGTGCCCATGGCCCAGTCCCCAGTCCCCAGTCCCTGGATGAGCATGTGCTTTGTAGAGCAGTGAGGCTTTGGAAATGACTCCATGTGGGTGGCTTGGTCTGTTTCCAGATTCTTTAGCCTTTCTCTTGGGACTGAAAATCCAGCTTGGGAGTTGAAGTGACTCAGAAGAGAAAAGGAAAAGAAGCACCCAGAGTCAGGTTTGCATCCAAGAGGAGACAAGCTGGGAAGAGGCCGCTGGACCTCCTGCACTGGAGTTGCAGCCCTAGGGAACATCAGCTGGACTTGATAGGCTGAACTGGCGGGTGGGGAGTTGGTGCACTTCCACGTAGAGCACAGGATCAGCACCTGGCTCCCATGAGCATATGTTTCATAACTAAAGGGTGTGGGAACAAGTTCGGAGTGGTTATAGAATAAAAATAAAATGAACAGATGAATGGTGAGTGGGTGGTAGGTGGGGATGGATACAGGGGTTGGTGCATGGTGGTTAAAGGGTGATGCCTAGGTGACTGGATGAGTGGATGGCAGATGGATGGAAGGATGGACAGATGGGTAGAAGGATGGATTGCAGATGGGTGGATGAATGGATAGATTGTAGATGGTGGATAGGGGAGGGGATGGGTGGATAGATGGATGAGGGGATGGATGTGTGGATGAGAAGATGGATATGTGGATGGCTTTACTGAATGGGAGAGTGGGTGAATTGATAAGTGAATGGATGCAGGATTGGTGGGTGAGTGGATGGATGGATGGGAGGACAAGTAGATGGATGGGTGGTAGATGTACGGATAGATGGGAAGATGAAAAGGGGAATGGGCTCATGGATGTGTATGTGGGTAAATGGATATGTAGACAGATAGATGAATGAGTGGATGGGTGGGTGGGTCTATGGAAAAATGGATAGATAAGTGTGGGTAGGTGGGTGGGTGGATGGGCAGGTAGATGGCGGATGGCTGGCTGGGTCAGTGGATCAGTAGGTGGGTGGGCAGACAGATGTACGTGAGGACAGATGGATGAGTAAGTGAGTGGGTAGAGGCGGCACTGGCACACAGCAAAAAACACACTGGTTGGAATCAGAGACTCTTGCCTTCGCCCTGATTCTGCCCCTAATGCTCTATGGGACTTGTCATAAGTCATCTCGCCTTCTTGGACTTTAGTTTCCTCATCTGTCTAACAGGGAAATAGTTTCCGCCCTTCCAATACCAAGAGATCAGAAAAAATCCCTGGACTGTGAGCATCCCTAGCACCATGGCCTCTCCAGCTCTACTGACCAATCTCATCCTGCTCACAGGATGAAGTTTCTCTTTCCTGTGCCCACAGGGACCTTCTGCTGTGTCCATCAATATTTTCTAATAGAGATCCAGGGAATTCTGTTCATAGCAAAGTCCAGTACAGGACACACATTCAGGTCCCTGAGTCTGGTCAAGCCTGGCTGATATGCGCTGGAGTTAAGAAGCCACCTGTGAGGTCAAGAAATGGATTCCAATCCCAGCTCTGGCACTCAGTGCTGTGTGACCTGAGGCAAGTCACCACACCTATCTGGGTCTCACTTTCCCAGTCTGAAAACAGGAATAATATCAGCACCCAGATCCCAGAGTGCCTAGGGGGTTCCAGATAAGACACACATGGATACTCGGTCCAGCACAGGGCCCAGGGCTGGGCTCGGGGAGACAGAACTGCCTTGGCTATTAACTCCACCCTGAGCCAAATGACACCCGCAGGGCCTGTTGCCGAAGGTGTAGGTGCATGCAGGCTTCTGGAATGGGGAAGCTCCCGGAAGCCAAGAGCCCCAGGGAACTGGCAGGCTCACAGCCATGGCAGCCAGACTCTGTGCAGTCGCTTTGTAGCTTCATGTGCTCCTCATCCTGGGCAACCCAGCGCCCAGGGCATCCCGTTAACAACTGGCTGGCTCTGGGTAAACAGCTTCACCTCTCCGAGTCTTGGTTCTCTCATCTGGAAAAGATGGGCCCCAGAGTTACCCGTATGCTTTGCTCTTCGCTTCCCTATGACCTTCTGGGTTGTCTCCCAGCAAGGTGGGTGGAGCCAGCACCCTTTACTACTGAAGATGTAAATGCTGAGGTCCAGAGAGGTTCTGGAGTTGACTTCAGTGTTGAGCTAGGATGAAAACACAGACCCCTCCCAAGCTTTGCTCCCAGCCGGCCCAAGTACCCCCAGCTGAAGCCTAGAGCTGAACGTTGGGCTCTGGGGCTCTCACTGCGCCAAGGGGTCCCTTTTGCTACTGTTCCCTGCCAGTGCCGGGCATTTCCTGGTCAGCTGGTCAGTGATGGTGTCCTTGCCACGTGCCTGGAGGCCCACTTCCCTTGAAGTGGAGCCTTAAGAGATTGCCCCCATTGCCTTCACCCCCAGGGAACCCCAACACCTTGCAGACCTAAGGAGCACCCAGAGTCCATAGGAAATTGGCCCGCCTTAGTGGCAGAGTTTGGGTCAGGTGCCCCCTCAGTAGCCTGAGCCTGGGAGAGGTGCCCAGGTGGAGAGGAGCAGGGTGCAGGGGCCCGGGGTGAGGCAGGAGTACAGGGTGGCAGCCCCCTGCAGCCCTGCTTTCCCCCTCCCCTTCCCCAACTGCTGCAGACTCTGCTTACAGCACCTCCACCATCTGTCATCCCTCCCCCACTCCATGGGCACAGCGGTGACTTGGGGGTTTGGGGGGCGGGCTGGCTTGCCTCATAAACAGACTGCTGGTGGGTCCCCAGGGCCAGGTGGTGATGGGGCTGGTCCTAGCCCAGGACTACGGAGCTGGGGTGGGGCCTGTGGGTGGACGGGCAGCATACCAAGCACCAGGAGAGTTCCCTGCCCTCCCACAGCGGTGCCCATACCCCCCAAGGCTCCTGTCTGCACCCACCCCCTCACCCAAGCTCCTGCAGCTAGCTCCACGGATCACACATCCTTCCTATCTTCTTCTGTGTTTAGAGAATTTCAAATCAATACCTGGGTGTGAGGCTGGATGGACTTGCCCTAACCAGGGCTGCCTCTGTGGGTACCATGTACCCCTCGCCTTGGGGATCTCTGCTTACAAGCGGGGAGACTGAGGCTCAGTAGCAGAGCAGTGGTGGGGGAGGGGGGCTGCTGGGAGTGGCCTGGGACTCACCCTGGCTGTGTCTTTGCCACCCAATCGGAGCAGTTGTGGGGAGTGAGGGTGTCACGGGTCAAGCCCCTGTGTCCTGAAACCGAACAAGTTTCCTGGCCTCAGTTTTCCCATCTGGGGGATGGGGAGGAGTCAAGGCCACTGGAAAAGAGCACCTTTTGGGTCAGAGAGCCCCTGGGGACTTGTCATTTTCTCTTGATCCCCAGGGGGTGGGAGAGACAGCACTGGAGGGGGCGGCAGGGTGGTCCACGGACCTCCCCACCCAGTCCCCGGGTCCCCCAGCTTCTCCCGCCCCCCATCACAGCTCAGCCCACCGCCCCCTCCTCTCTCCTGCCTTCTGACTGCCAGCTCCTCCCCGCAAAGCCCCCAGACCCCAGCTGCGGCGTTCTGTTCTGCAGCTTTGACCAGCGCTCAGCCGCCCTCCTCCCCCGCATTCCCCTCCACCCGCCCCCCCTCGGTTCTGCGCCCTCCCCTCTCCTGCCTCCTCCCCTCCCTCCCCAGCTCCCTCCCTCCTCCCTCCGGGGGAAGAAAGGTCACCGTGCAGCTGATTACTCAGAGCTCAGTTGCTGTAGCAACCGGCGGGGGAAGTGGGACGGGCGGGCTTTGAGGACGCGTGGGGTCGGCCGCGGGCGGCGGCAGCCGGCGCGGGCCCCGGCGCTCCTGCGGGAGGGAGGCTGCGGCGGCCCGGCTCCGGGCTCTCGTTGGTAACGAAGCCCTGCGCCCCCGTCGCACCCTCCCCGCCCCCGTCCCACCTCCCTGGGGGCCGGAGGGAGTTCGCCCCTCCTCGGTTCGGCTGCTTCCCCTCCCCGGTTCCCGCCCCGTCTGTCTCTCCCCTTCCTCCAGGGCTGCGATGGCTTCTGTCTCCTTCTCTCTCGGAGCCCAGGGGGACCGGCCCTTTCCCAGCACGCTCACCCCTGCACCGGCTTGGTAAGCAGCCCGGCCGAACCCTCAGCACCGCCTCCTCCCAGAAGCCTTTGTCACGGGCCACAGCGGCGCCAGCCGGCCCCTGCCCCGCACCGTGGCACTCGCCGGGCGCCCTGGGCCCCGGGAGCCTGGGCCCCTTGGGAAGGCAGCCCTCTGCTCCCAGAGGCAGCCGGACCTGGAGGGGGGCGTGCTGTTCACCGCGGGGAGGGGGTCGGTACCGTCTCCAGACCCGCCGTCTGTCGGCTCCTCCCACCGGGCAGCCCAAGGACTGCCTGTGCCAGAGGCGGAAGGTTCTGGGGCTGGGCGGTGAGGGACACACGCTCCGGGGCAAGTGGGCCGGGCGCACGTCCCCACCTTCCTGTGGGCCCCTCCTCCACGGCCGGTGGGGACGCGACGGCTTGGACCACTCTGGAACATAGTTTGCAGCTTTTTCAAAAACGAAACATACACTTACCATATAACCCCACCATTCCCCTCCTAGGCATTTATCCCAGAGAAATGAATCCTGGGACCACACAGAGACTTGATCGTGAATGTTCATAGCAGTTTTATTTGTAATAGGCAAAACTGGAAATAACCCACATGTCCATCCACAGGAGAGTGACTGGCTCAACAGTTTGTGGTACATCCCCAAATGGCACAACCCTCAGTAATAAGAAGAAAGAAGTCCTGATACATGCCACAACACACGGAACAATCTCAGGGTCGTGATGCTGTGAGAGGAGCCAGGCCACAAAGAATGCATACTGTGTGAATTCATTTATAGAACATTCTAGAACATGCAAACACCTTTGGTAACAGAAAGTTCTGTGGTTGCCTGGGGACCAATGGGGCCAGGAAGTCCCACAAAGGGGCCCAAGAAAACTTGGGGAATGATGGATGTGTTCACTGTCTTGATGGTAGTGACAGTTTTATGACTGTTTATGTATATATATGCCCAAACCCATCAAATTGTGCACTTCAAATATGTGCAGTTATTGTATATCCATTATACCTCAGTAAACTGAAAAATCAAATTCCTGCTCTGCCAGCTCATTGGCTGAGTGACCTTGGGTGGGTCACCTCATTTCTCCTAGCCTCATTCATGAAAGTGGGATAACGATACTTCCAATCTCCGGGATGATTATGAGGATTCAAAGATAGAATGTTAGTTAATTGCTCAGCTCCATCCCAAACAATGGGTACCCCATCCGGGGCAGAGAGCGGGATCACAGGACTGGCCTGCCCTTGCCAGGGTGCAAGACATGCCCTGCCTTCGGTTGTCCCCCACTCACTCACTCACACTTTTGCAATGAGAAGGGAAGCCCTCTGTTCCATGCCAGGTCTGGTCACTTCTTGGGCAAACAAAGGAAAAACAAGTCCTACCTCCATCCCCGGGGTACCTGCTTTGGGGTGACAGATACATACCGTACAATTACCACATGAGGGCTAGTGGTCCAGGCATGTGCCAAGGCCCAGTGGCTGGTGGGAGCGTGGTGCCTTCCAGAATCCGCAGGAAGGGTTGAAAGGGAGGCAGCAAGGGGGGATAGAAGGCTCCATCATGTGACATCGTTCAGGCCCTGCTGAGGAGCCAGTGCACTCCTCCTGAGGGATGCCAAGACCCTGACACTGGCTCCCCCTCAGTGCGAATCCCAGCTCCTGGCTCCCTGCCATTTCCTCTAAGCTCGGATTCCCCATTTTGAAGGCAGGGGTAACGATCCCTCCTCACAGCGCCTGTCCAGAGCTCAGTGGTCAGGGGGTCCGGGTGTGTCTGGTTTGCCTGTTGTGTTTGCCACACGGTGTTACAGTTGCCAGGCTCTGGGTAGCTTGCTTGGCCCAACCATGGGCTCCTGGGGGCAGCACCTGCAGCCCCCTCCCTGAGCTTCTGTACCTGGCACAGATTAGGCACCCAATAAATATGTCAGGAGGCGAATCAAGGCACCGGTGCAGGAAGAACAAAGCCCCTGCTTCCATGGCTTCTACTCCCTGGTCGGAAGACAAAGAGACTATTTCTTCTGCAGGTGGTGGGGACCCCAGGAAGTTCTCATAAGGTATTGAGTTGAGACCTCCTTACCCTCTACCCTCAGCTTCAGTTGGAGGCCTCCTCTCATGTTAAGGGCCAAAGTGGGGCTGTTTTCTTGGTTTTCTGAGCTGTGGTTGGTTCTGCCAGTTGATTGTGAATGGCTTTGACCAGATAGGTTTTCCTCCTTTGCTCACTCGTCACTTGAGAGGGTGAGATTCTGAACCCCCAGGACCGACTGCTCAGAACCTTCAAGGTGGGAGTGGTGTACGATATTCCCGCGGGAGCCAGGCCAGGAGGAACTCCCCCCACCTCGTGCCCAGAGAAGGGACATGACTGGGCCAGGTGCACTGGGAGGCCACATCAGAGCCTGCCTTGGACTCACCATCCAGTGCTCTTCCTATGGGGCTGGGCCAGGCTGCAGACCAGTGACCAGTTCCTTTCTGCCATGAGGCGCACATGGGAGTTTCCCAGGTTTGTGCCAAGGAAGGAGAAGTAAAGGTCTGAATTGATAGCTGGCAGCGTTTGCCAGGAAGGAGGGCTCTGGCCTCTTGGAGTGGCTCACAGTTCCACGCCCCCATTGGAGCTCCCTCCCAAGTTGGGGGGAAGTGCATCCTTTCCCCAACCCTACTCCTGCCCAAGTGGCTGGGGGGAAACCCAGGGTCTGCAGGAGCCAGAGGAGGTCCCTGACCCAGCCTGCTGTTGGGGGAGAGGGCAGAAAAGGAGACATCTAAGCTGAGACCCAAAGCTCCAGTACGAGTCAGCCGAGCAGGCGATGCGGGGATGTTCCAGGCAAAGGATACAACAGTACGTGCAAAGGCCCAGGGGTGAGAATAACAGGGCTAATTGGGACAAGTAAAAAATGTTCATTTTCAGAAGCCAAGAGCTACAGGAAGTAGAACTGAGGAGTGGAGGTAGAGAGGTTGGTATGGGTCAGGCCATTCCAGGCTTGTGCTGAGGGTCACACTGAGGGTCATGGGGAGCCATGGAAGGTTTTGGGTGGAAGAGTGACATATTCAGAAGCATCTTCCAGAAAGATTGCTCTGGCTGCCTTGAGCAGAAGGGACTCCAGGGACAAAGGTAGAAACAGGGAGACCAGCAAGGTAGTTGCTGCAGAAAGCCAGGCAAGAAAGAAAGGGGATCTGGTCTAGGGCAGCAGAAGGAGGGGCAGGGTGGACTGACTGAAAGACTTAAGCGTAGGTTTGATGGGTGGGAGTGAGGGAGGAAGGGAAAGAGTGTGGACAATGGGAGGACGGTGGGGCCATCGCTGGGCAGTACCTTCCCGGCCCTGGGCTCCCACAGCTCTCCAGGTTCCTTGGGGTACATCCCTGACCCCCTAAGACTGCCCTCCTCAGGCCCAAGGGGAGCTGTCTTGGATGGACACCTGGCGTCTCTGGCAATGGATGGCCTCGTGGACAAACAGCTGGCTGTCCCGAGGGCCAAGACCCAGGGCGGGGGACATGGCAGGCAGCCAGCCGAGGCTCCAAGTCTTGGCCTGGACAGGCCGCCTCCCAGGAGGAGTCAGCCCTAGCAGAGCAGTGGGGGGAGGGCCTGGCTCCAACCGGGGGGTCTTCACGCAGCCTTGGGGTACCCCCCCTTGCTCCTCAGGTCTCCTCTGCTCCGAGACGGACAGATGCACATGCCAGCCCCTGAGGACCAAGACGGCTGAGCAAATGTGCAGGGGAGACTGAGGAGGCCGCAGGGGCACGGAGGGTGGCTGGGAGGGCCCTGCAGGTCCAGTCGGGGGGCAGTCTGGGCGCTGAGGAGAGCAGCTGTCCCGCTTGCCCCACTCTTGAACCTCACCCTCCTCTGTCCTTTGGCTGCAAGAGCTGAACAGTGAAGGTCTCAAAACTCGGGGTCCTCCCTGACCCCCCTACCCACTCACAGGTGAATCCAGGTGGTTCTGCTGTGGAGTCTGTCCCTTCTCCCTCCCTGCAGCCACCCTGTTAAGTCTAGCCTGACCATCTCTCCCATATACCAGCCTCCCCAGGGCCTCCCTGCCTCCATTTCCCCTCCCTCTGGGCCTCCCACTCAGTGCAGCCCCAGGGAAGCCCACGAGGCTTCGTGGTGATGGCTGCCCACCGCACTGGCCCACTGGGACTCACTCCGCCGAGGTCACCTGGGCCCCTCCCTCCCCCAAACCCCCACCCTCCCTCTTCCCACCTCTGCACAGGTTCACCTCCCCTCTCCAGACCTTTGCACATGCTGTTCTGACACTTGGAAATCCTTCCCCCAGGCCTTCTGGGTTCTTCTTACTGACCCTTACCATTCACAGGTGTCATTGGCTGCCCTTCAAGAAGCTCCCTGAGGACGGACTCTGGGCCTGTCTCACTCATCTCTGCATTCTGCTGCCCACATAGTGCCTGAGTGAATGAATGGATGAGTGAGTGATGAGTGAATGAATGAATGAATGAATGAGTGAGTGAATGAGTGAGTGGATGGATGGATAAATAGATGGAATAGATGGATGGACTGGCCATCCTGGAGTTTGGGGAGAAAGACATCCCTCAGGGGCCCAGAAGGGGCTGGGGCAGAAAGGAGGCCCCTCTCAGGCTGGGCACTGCAGTGCTGAAGGTGGACTTCCTGCTCTCTTTCCTGACTGTGTCCCACTCCTGGGAGGAGGGTGAGCCTCCAGCCATTCACCTAGAACTCCAGTGGCCAGAACATGGAAAAGGCAGGCCAGCAGTGATGAGCCCAGCGGAGATGAGCCCAGGGCCCTGATGCCTGGAACCCACCCCTAAATCATTCACCAAAGGACAGAGCAGTGTGGGGCTGGCATCAGGCAAACGGGGTTCAAAACCCTGCCCTGTCATGTATAAGCTGCTGGGCCCTGGGCAATCATCTTCATCTCTCTGTGCCTCTATCTCCTCATCTGTGAAGTGGGGAGAATGATAGTACCCACTCCACACGGTCAGAGGGAAGCATCAGCAGATCCTTGCCTGGCAGAAGCAGCTCAGCCTGACATGCCCAGCAAGGGGTAAGTGCTGAATAAATGGGAGCCTGTCAGTGGCACCAGCCAAGTTCCTCTCCTGAACTGGGCGGCAGGCCCATGCCAGGTGGACGGCAGAGGCTTGGATTTGGAGGCCAAGGCCCTGTTCACTTTCTGACCAAAGATGAGCATCCCTCTCTTCATTCCTGGACTCCCTCCACCTCTGGTCTCCCCACTGTCTTCTGGGCAGGGACCCCTCCCTATACCCAGGAAGCCCATTCTAGCAAGTTCCAGGCCCTCCCTCGACCTCTCTCAGTCTTTGAGTTTAGAGACCTTAGAGTGTGGAGTCCACTCTCTCTCTAGTTGCCCCACTGACCAGACATGGAACTAAGGCTCAGAAGGAAAGGCATTCACCAGGCCTGACTCCTGGTCCAGTGCTCCTGGCCTGGGTCCTCGACTCACTCGTGCTGTGGGAGTTCTGGGACAAATCCCTTCAGCATGGGATGGGCTGCTGCCCCTCAGGCTGGGAACGTGTCTTGATCACTGTGTGGGTCCCATACAGACCTGGAACCTGTGAATGAATGAATGAGGACAGAATCCATCTGACTCCCAG